AGAGTACCACATAAACAGTCTATGGGTATTCTTTGGAAAGTCCACGAGTTATTAAGAGCAATTAACTATGCAGACAACATTTTCAGTGCCCATGGCAATGGTGTTTGTGAACAGTCTATGAATTATTCATGGCAACAGTCTGCACACAGACTTGCATGAGTCCATACATGAAGGAGGGCTGGAAGTATGGCTGCAGGGGTAGCAGCCATGGGACGAGAAATGGAGCGTAACACACAGGTAACAACACGGATACTGGCTGGACACTGTAAAAGGAAGGAATGCTGCCCTTATCATAGGTCATGCATCTTGCTGGGTGCCTCTCTCGCTCTCTGTGGCAGGTGCCTTTTCAGGTTCAGCCACTGCATTTGAGGATAGGTATGCATGCGGTAGGTTCCCATCAGGCAAGTTTTAAGCATGTAAGTTTATGTCCAGATTTTCACTAGGCTCACTGAACTCGAAAACTACGAAAACTGGCTTTTCAAATTTTCCTCCTGCTGGTGTGCAGTTATGTACAATATCCATCTCTGATTGACCAAGAAGGCTGTTTCTTTCCATTGACAGGGTGGAAGCTTGGAGTGGTTATTAATGTAGCTCATACTCATCTCCACTGTCTTCCTCAGATTCTTGAATTTGCGTTTCAGGCCGGTGCCTCCTTTCCTGTTTTCTTTGGTCCCTTCTGGGGGCTCCAGTTGTGTCAACAGGCGATTGATCACAGGGCATTAAGAAGTTTCTGTGCAGGCCTCTGGAGCGTCCTTTTCCCCTTTCTGGTTTCACTTCATAGATTGGCAGGTCAGAACCCACTGGGCTCACTTCTATGTGAACTATGTTCTCCCAGGAACAGATTGGCTGGTCTTCCCCTGGGTGTCAGATTCTTAATCAAGACATGTTCACCGGGTTGCAGCACTGAACTTCTTTTGTGTTATAGTACTTCTTACTCATTTCAGCAGCCTTTTGAGCATTTTGTTTGGCAATGCCATAGACTTCCTCTATACCTTCCTTCCATTTCTCTACATACTCATGTTGATCATTGAACGCTGACTTAGAGTGCAGCCCAAAAACATATCAACTGGAAGTCTGGGTGATCTCCCATGGAGAATATAGAATGGTGAATAACAAGGTTCAATTAGTTTTAAACAAAAATATCTGGTGGAACTTCCTCCAAAGAGCTACTTTTTACTTTCTTACTCTGAGTACATTTCATAACCTGTCCTTTTTCACTTGAGTAAAGAATTTGAATTTGTTTTTGAACTTTTACTAGAGTACTTTACAACACTAGTATCTGCGCTTCTGCTTAAGCACAGAATGTCTGTACTTTTTTCACCCTCACTTAGGGCTATGAGCTCTGGGTAATGACCAAAAGAGGAGACCAGGAAATGCTGGAGAAAGTTTATATCCCAGCTGGCCGGGGAATATCTCGGTATCCCCGTAGGGAAACTGGAGGAAGTGGCTTCTCTACTTAGACTCCTGCCCCTGCAACCCTAATCTCTATAAGCAGCAGAAAATAAATGGGTAGATGGCCTGGGGAAAAAAAGCCTCCTGTGAAAATTAGGGTAGCTAAAAAGCAATATCCAAATGTAAATAGCCTAACACATCTAAAAATATCTCAGTCCACCTGAGACACCATCGACTTAAATAATAGCTTACCTGCAAAACCTACAAGCCAATTGAGCCACAGAAACATTTAACTAGATAGTCTTTGATCTAAATTTCCTCACCATGTTTTTGGATACACCATCAGGTTAGGAAGTATATATATATATTTTTTTTTTTTTTATTTAGAAATACAATAGTTTTGCCACTAGTTAAGTGTGAGCATACTGCTATTGAGTGGAAAATGGGGGTTAGCTCCAAGTGGAATACAAATAAATCATTATTTAGTTTAAAAGAAACAAACTTCATGTGTCATTTAGGTGCTTTACAGTACAAATAGCAGAAAAAACTGTTCCCAGCATTTTGCTGATTACACAGTAAGCACTAATGGGTTTAGCTTCATTTATATTTCTGGATTCCCAGGATACTGCACAGCACAGCAACCCTTAGTCCCCACTTCTGTCATAAAACTTTGTCAGTTCCTAGAACTTGAATGAAGGCCAAAGGTGATTTTGCTGTAATAGCACTGAAACTTTGGAATGACCCTTTGGATGTAGTTTGCTCAGCTAATTTGCTCTGCAGTCATATTTTTGCAGCCTGTTGATACTTTGCTTTTACAAGCTTGCTTTGGATGTCAAACCTATTCTGTACTTTTCACTTTCATCTCTGCAGTTATGCATTTTACAGATTATTTCTTTATCGCAACCGTGCACAGCACAGCAATGCAAGAATGAAAATGTAAATATTCTTTTTTGGGTAGTCACTTTGTATAATTTTTCAGCCTCGACTGTCATGCAATTATTTTTTATGTGCACATGTGGGAATCAGCCCCTGAAAATGCAGAAAATCCAGGGATTAGAAATGATAAATTTACTTGTGCTATCCCAAAAAATGTGTGTGCATGTGTGTCAGAGTGTGTAGGGAAACAAAACTGAAGGATGCCAGGTTTCTTTCTTACCTTGATCCTGGTATGTGTGTTGGCTCTGTGTCTGGAAAGAGGAAAGAGAATCATCAGAGCACCGACTTTTATAGCCCTACTGAGACAGCGACCAATGACAGGCTTCCCCCTCCCCAACATAGGGATGAAAAGACCAAATGTTCTTCTAAGATCGATTAGAAAGGACGTGGTATGCGTCATGTATATAGATGCATTTTATTTGAATATTGAAGAAAAAAAAAGAATTTAAGTTGTTTTTTCTTTCAAAGAAACATACAGAAAAAATAGTAATAATATATTCCTGTAGCATGTACTGTAAATGGGGGCGGTCTTAGCTCGGATGATTTAATAAAGCAGTTCTCACCTCATGGGTGTAATTGGCAGCCAACCCAGAGTCCTTTGTAGCTGTGGACAGGCATAAGCTCATTAGGGAAGTAAAGCTAATCGGACTGTTAATTTAGCATGTTGTTTGATGACTTTTATAAAAAGGTAACAAAAACTGGATCTAGTTGTAAAACAAATATTCTTTGCTTTACAGTAGGTGGTGTGTTTGAGCAGAGGCTAATAAACAACTGTAAGAGATGCTCTTTGTAGTTCGTGAATGTGTGCGCATGCCGCAAAATAGGTAAATGATTGATAGCCAGCTGCCTCCCTGACTGTGTGCCCAGCCTGGACATAGATCACAGATGGCTTGCAAACTCATTGTGTAATTATGAATGGCTACTAGAAGCCATAAATCAGTTAAAATTGGGGTCAAGAGGTTCATGGGTTCAAAAAATGCCCCCAGTGCCCACTTTGTTGCTTCTCTGAGTTGGGTGTAAAAAAAAAAAAACAACAACCAAAAAAATGTACATTTGAGTTGCAGAATAGTGACGAAAAAAAAAGAAGAATAAGCCGCATATCAGAAAATCAAAGAGAGCATACAAGGTAGTGGAGAGATAATACAGAGAGAAAAAGGACAGAAAAGTAACACTGACAGGGAGAAACAGACTTTGCCCAGCCTGATGGAAATTTCCACTCTGGCAGTGAAACGAAATCTAATGTTCAGATTAAGTTAAGCATAATGCAAAACAACAAAACAAGGTTCACTCGTTAGATTGTAGTTGTTAACGGAGACATTCCACCAATATTACACGTATAAATAAATGAAACAATAATTATTCTTAAGCAATAAAAGCTTTGAATTCTGGGACAGTTTGGAACACACTTCTGTGTTCTTCATGTTAAAATCTTTTCTTTATGGTTTTCAGGTTTAGTCAGGAGGGTAATAACAAACTGAAATGCAAAGCAAACTTGCTTCTATTATTGTTTTTTGGCTAAAAAAATATTTCAATAGATACAGTGTGCTTTTTTCTGTATGTACGAACATGCTGGGGAGTGTGAATAATTGGCTTGATTTCCATCTGTACAGTTTTGTTTGGCTAAAAAAGGTTCAGTGTGTTGAAATGCATGGAAAGGTATCAAATGACGGCAAAAGGGGTTGAACGAGTTTATAACCCCCC